CTCGTACCTCAGACACATAGCCTTCGACCTCTGCATGAGTGAAATGAGGGTGGTGCCACGATTGGCAGTGGGTTTGCTGAGACGGGCAGTGAAGGAAGTTCTCGGCCCGGTGGCTGGCTCATAGGAAGCTCTCAGTAAATCCCCCAAACAAGACTAGCCCCCCTGTCCTGCACACTCGACCCCAGGAGCTCATCACATCCTTCCAGTAACCCCACAGGGTACAGGCTGTTAGTCCCTTGTCCAGTGAGAATGCTGAGGCACCAAGGACTTAAAATAGCTTACTGTTTCCAGCCAGCAAGGCATGGTGTTGGACCATGAGCTCAGACAGGTTCCTAGACTAGTGTGCCACCCCCCACCCCCACCCCCAAGCCTCCTACCAGCCCCCAGGCTGAGGGGTAATGGGACTGGGGGTGGGGACGCTGCAACTGGGGTCCTCCCTCTCTCCTAGGCTGCATCACTGTGACCAGCGCTGAGGATGGTGGGGCCGAGACCACACGCTTCCTCATCCTGCAGGGCCCAGACGATGGTAAGACCCTGGGCACCAGCTCGCTATATGATTTTGGCATGTTCTCTACTGCTCTGCACTTCAGTTTCCCCACTGGCAGGTAGTATGGTGGGGGGCCAGGTTCCAGGATGATCTCTGGGCCTGTTTGTGGCCAACCCTGCCATCCTCTTCCCTCCCTGCTGCTCTCCTCCCCTACCCGCAGGAGCTCCCCTGGCATCACCAATGTCCAGTTCCACCCTGGCCCACAGCCTGGCAGCCATCGAGGCGCTGGCTGACGGTCCCACGTCCACCTCCACGTGCCTGGAACCACCAGAGGTGGCACAGGATGGGCCCAGCTCCCCAGGTGTGCAGCCGCTGGCGGGCCCTGGCACGGAGGAGCCAGACCTGCAGAGCCTGGAGGCCATGATGGAGGTGGTGGTGGTGCAGCAGTTCAAGTGCAAGGTGTGCCGGTACCGGAGTAGCACCAAGACCACGCTGCTGCGCCACATGTGGGAGCGCCACTTCCGGCCAGGTGCGTCCATAGCCACTCCTGCATGGGGGTGGGGCTGGGGTGGAGGGGAGCTGCAGAGGTTATAGGGCAGGCTCTCTCGCCTTTGCAACAGCAGTCAGTAAGAAAGCCCGTGTGCGGAAGTGGGGTGCCTCAGCCAAGGCTCAGGAGCAGGAGGGGCCTGAAGAGGAGGAGGAGGATGACATCGTTGACGCTGGGGCCATTGATGATCTAGAGGGTAGGCACCAGGACTCCCCAGGCCTGCCACCCCACCTTTGTCCCTGTCCCCAAATACTCACTTGCAGCTGGCTGGCCAGGAGGGCCATTGGCACAGATGCAGCTGCAGGTGGCCTCCATGTAAGACAGGAGCCCGTGCTCTGGGACCAGTACCTCTGCGGTTGGGCAGGCCGTGCACTGAGAAAGCCCCTCATCCGTCCAGTGGACATGTGCCTCTCTAGCTCTCGCGGTGTTCCCCAGCGTAAAAACCGTCCAGTGGACATGTGCCTCTCTAGCTCTCGCGGTGTTCCCCAGCGTAAAAAGAGATGAGCTTGATTCTAATCATGTATTTCAGTTGGCCACTGGATCAAAAATGCAATTTTCATGTGCCATCGTGAAAGCAAATGGTCAAAGAAACAAAAACATTTTGTTGTTACACTAAGTCTGTAAAATCCGCATGTGTGGCGCTGAAGGCACATGCCAAGTGCCCAGTACTCCAGAGGCCAGTGGCGGCATGGTCACAGAGTTCACAGACGTGACTGTTTGTGACGGCCGTCGTCCAGTAGTGGCTTGAGGAAGCGGGAGGCTTTTTAAAATGCTCGTCAGGGCACTGTGAGCAAGCAGCAGGTGCCAGGAACACTGCAGAGAAGGGCTGCAGACTCGCAATCAGCCCAGAGGGCCTCCTGGAGGAGGCGTCACAGCTGGGCTGAAGGAAGACTAGGAGCCCTATAGGGAGGGAGCTGGTCGGAGGGGCCAGGGCTGAAAGCTCCTGATGCCACCTCTTCTTGGCAACCTCCCCAGAGGACAGTGACTACAATCCAGCTGAGGATGAGCCCCGAGGCGGTCGGCAGCTGCGGCCCCAGCGCCCGGCCCCTAGCACCCCAAGACCTCGAAGGAAACCTGGCCGGCCCCGGAAGCTGCCTCGCTTAGAGACCTCAGACTTCCCAGACGGTGAGACTTGGTCAGAGGCGAGGCCTGGGATGGGGGTGGGGAAGCCGCAGGGGTGGGCTTGTCCCCCACGTATGTCTATTGCCCAGTGAATGTGTGGTACAGCTGCCGGTCAAACCAGAGTGCCCTCTTGGAGGGGAAAGGCCTGAGCAAGCTGCCTTGAGAGGCGTGGCCTCAGCTTCATGGTGAGGCCCTCTAGTGGTAAGCTGCTTTGCCTCTGGCAGCTCCCATCCCCTCTAATTACTGGAGGTGACATCAACGGTTCCGTTTTGTTTGGAGATTTAATTGCATCTGGTACAGTTCTGAGGGAGACAGGCCTGGCCACCTGCTCCCCTAAGGATCGTGCCTAGAAAACACTGTGGGCTGTGCACTGTCCCAGGAGGTCCGGAGGAGTCTAATTGACCTGTCGAAAACGGCTTTGTCAGCATGGTCAAAGAAGAAAAGGAAGCTAGGAGAGTCGATATCTCAAGTAGAGGAAGATTCGATTGAAACAAAACTCAGTGCACATTTTGGAGTCACATGCTAGAGTGAGTGAACAGTTAACGCAGTGGCCAGTTTTAGGTTACAGAGGATGGTGTCAGCAGCCTTGAACACAGGTCCAGAGAGAAGCCAGGCAGAGGAACAGGGTGAACACCAATGAAGAAGCCAGAGCAGGGGCCGAGAGCTGTGCCGACGCAGGCGTGGCAGTATGGGAGTCCTAGCGGTGAGGAGAGATAGACAGGCGGCAGGAAGGATGTTTGAAGACGTCCTGGCCCAGGTGCCGTCCATTTGATCGAAAGGCCTGTGTGCGCACCCACAAGCTCCACCTCAGTACGCTCTGCAGAAAAGCTGAGAAGCCAAGGGCTTTTGAAAGCCTCAGAAGAAAACAGACCCGTCGTGAATAAGAGACTGTTAGCCACACTAAGCACTAGCTGCTCAACGGAACCATGGTCAGCAGGAGACCCTGGGGAGCACATTCAGAGGGCCGACGAGAAGAGTGTCCATCCGGAATATCCTATCCAGCAAAAACCGTCTTCCAAAAAGGACGGCAGAAGCAAAGCATTCACAGATGAGCCAAGAAACAAGAGCCTTTGCAGCCAGAGAGACCTGCTCAGCAAGATCTTGCCTTCTGAAAAGCAGTGCACAGGAAGAATTCAAGGGCTCTGGTGAAAATGCGTTTAAAAGACAGCGACTGGGAGCCGTCTCCCTGGAGGCCACTTGGAGGGGATCATTTTTATTCTTAAGTCTTTTTTTAATTTTTTATTATTTTTGCGTGCTGTTTCTGAGGTTGTATAAGATCTCTGGTGAGCTGGACACAGTGGCTGTAGCAGTGGGCTCTTAACGAGGGGGGGGGGGCCGGGCTGGCACAGGACCAGGCAGCGTGGTGTGCTGTGGTACGTGCGGTCGCCCTGGGCCTGCCCGACAGTGCCTGTATAAGATCTCTGGTGAGCTGGACACAGTGGCTGTAGCAGTGGGCTCTTAACTAGGGGGGGGGGGCCGGGCTGGCACAGGACCAGGCAGCGTGGTGTGCTGTGGTACGTGCGGTCGCCCTGGGCCCGCCTGACAGTGCCTGACAAAAGATCTGTATGGGCAAGCTTACAGACCCGAAGTCCGGCAGTTGTCACCACTGAGCACATGTGGATGACCAAGCCCGGTGACTAACACCATGTGCACCCTTTGGAGCTTACCACCGTAAGGGGAGCATTGGCAGGTTACGGGTAGGGCCCTCCCTGTCTGAGAGGAAACCTGGGTTTGACTCCTTGCCCGCTCCCCTCATGGACAACGGCCACCATCTGTCTGTCTGCTGAGGCAGGTTGCTCAGAGGCTGAGGAGTTTCCAGTTGATCCTCCAGGGAGCTCTGGGGCTGGGAGGACCTGCAGAGCAGTCCCAAACCAGGGGAACTTGGTACCCCTGCACCTGCCTTCACCCCCTGGGGCAACCCTGGCCAATGAGGAGCCTCGGGTTCGATTCTGAGGACTCAGACATAAGGGCAACGGTGAGGATGCACAGGACAAGACGTGTTTGGTTCTGTAGTACACAGTCTCTGACAGCACTGTGTCAGGCAGGGTTCTCCAGAGAACCCAGACCGGGACGCTGATCTCATAAAGATATATGAGGAGAAGTTCACCCAGCGAGGAGGACTAGAACAGCCGACGGCAGGGTGGGTCAGCAGCATCAGTGGCTCGGAAGCTTAGCGAGGCAGGCCTGCTGGGATCTGGAGCTCAAGCACACTGACAGGGCCACTAGCCGCAAGCTCAAGCAATGTACATAGACCAGCAGCGTCGCAAAGCCGGTCCTGAAGGAGCCTCAGGCTCTCGCAACACGATCCATGGGTTGGCTTGGCTCACAGGAAGTGTGGCACGCAGGTTGAGACAGAACTAGCTAACGCAGCAGCACGCTGGTCTGATCACCAGGGAGCAAGAGAGATGGGGCAGGCCTGGCAGAGCCATTTATCTCGTTGCCCTCCTGCTGCAACCTGCTTAAACTCCGCCTACATGTTCCTGTTGGCCTAGTTAGCGTGGTAAACCACCACAGACATCTAACCACAGACAGCCTCATGCTCAGCCTCCACTCCTCTCTTGGGAGGCATGGCTTGCTTACTGCTGTAGTGGACTTTCCAGACAAAGATGGACGATGAAGAAAGACCTGGAAACGTACTGAAAAGCATTCCGAGATTCCCCTGCCAATCGCAAGCATCTCACCCACGGCCGTGCATGCGGGGCCAGCAGGTTCCGTTCTGTGGTTGGTGGGGCTGCTGGGAGGCGGGCCAACTTGACAGCAGGTAACAGCACCAGCAACGCCTGATCCTCTGGGAGGTCGCTGTTTAGCACAGCTCACTTTGCATCTAACCACACACCTAACAGCTGGTAGCCCAAACCTACCCGGGAGTGAGGCGGAAGAAAAGCCTGGCCGTCGACTGCTGTCACAGTGGCAGGCAAGCATGCCCAGTGGAGCAGTGCTGTTCTAACGCACCGGCCATGACGCCCAACCAACTCCACGGCACAGCATACGATTCCAACTTGATACGTTGACACCTCACCTGCCCTCTGGCTACGAACTAGAAACACCCCCTGGAAAGTTCTGTGGCCTCCCAGGCCGACCATGGTTCGGTGAGGTCAGTAGTGTGGCCGAACCGGCCCCCAGGACAGATGACGAATTCTCGACAGGAGGCCTGGCCCCGTACTGTGGCTCGGGGCGGGGGCGGGGCATTCAGCCAAGGTCCAGGAGGTAGGCCCCGTCTGCGTGATGCAGTCAGCACCCTGTGACGCTGCCATGGCTGTGGCAGCTGCTCACCAGTGTGTCTCTGGCAGATGTGGAAGGAGAGCCTCTGGTGAGCTCCCAGAGTGGCCAGAATCCCGCGGAGTGTCAGCACCAGGACCCCGAAGTCCCCAGCTCCTCCCGCCCAGGACGGCAGGCAGCCCTGGGCAGGACCAGGAGGGCACCCAAGGAGCCCGCCATCAGCCAGTCGGATGCCGAGAATGCTGCTCCCTCCGGCCAGGACCCACCGGACCCCCCACCCCGCCGCCGGGGCCGGCCCTCCCGGCGCTTCCTTGGCAAGAAATACCGAAAGTAGGTGGAAGCAGCTATGGGTTGGGGACTTCCTGGGGGCAGGTGCCCAGCCCAGCCCTGCCTCCCCTCCTGGTGCAGGTACTACTACAAGTCACCTAAACCCCTGCTGAGACCCTTCCTGTGCCGCATCTGCGGCTCCCGCTTCCTGTCCCATGAGGATCTGCGCTTCCACGTCAGCTCCCACGTGGCCGGCGACCCCCAGCTCTTCAAGTGCCTGCAGTGCAGCTACCGCTCCCGCCGCTGGTCCTCGCTCAAGGTGGGGCCAGAGGCCTGGGTGGGGGCGGTTGGTGGGGCCTCTTGGGCATCCTGGTCACTGTTGCCTGGGGAGGGCCGCCAAGGGAGCTCTGCAGGGCACATGGCCAGTGGTCCTGCCTTTCATATGGTGGACCTGCCCTTCGTGACCACCAGTTGGCTGAGTTCTCCAGCAGGTGGCAGTAACGTGTCCCAAGAGAACCAAACTTGACCTTGTAGTACGGGGTAGAACTGCCTGGTTTCCCAGGCTGTAACTCTTTAGAGGTGCACAGAGCCTCATCGTTCTCCTGAGTAAGGGCTGGGGTATTTGAACTGCTGACCTTGTGGTTAGCAGCCCAAGGTGTAACCCACTATGCTACCAGGCCACCTGTTTCCAGACAGGGCCTATGTCTCATGAGTCCAAAGGTCCTGTGGGGACCTAGAGTAGCCTGGGCCGGTCTTGTCCCTTGCTTGCTGACCCCAGGCCCTGCACACATGCTCTCGCGTCACCCTCTTGGCAGCATGGTGGAGCCCTGAGGCTCAGATGCCCCATTGACTGCTGGGGGAGCTATGGGACCAATGAGCTGGCTGCTCCTCCTCCTCCTTAGCCTTCTGCAGGAGCCCTGGGTAGGGTCAACAGTGAACTGAAAGGTTGGGGGTTAGTGGCCACCCAGATGCCACAGAAGAAAGGCCTGGCGATCTTCCCCAGAATCCAGCCTCTGGAGCCTCGTGGCACACAGTTCAGTGGCGCCTACAAGCTCCATTGACCACCAGTTTGCTCTCCTGGTCTAGCAGTCTCCCTTATAGGCTAGGGCCTTGTGACCTGAGAGGCTCGGCCCCAAGCTCGGACACCCACCTGGTCACTCACTGTGGGACCTGGCATGCCACTTCACCCTGAGCCTCCCTTTCTTCCCCGTCTGGCATGGGGTAGGCCAGCTCATCTTCTGGCCCTGGTGGCAGAGGGTCTGTTCTCTGGCCCTTCTTGGTTCTGAGCTGTTAGCACAGCAACCCCAGGGATCAGGGCAGGGTCCACACAGGTAGGGCTGCAGGGAGGCTGAGTCCCGCTGTGTTGTCCTCCCACCCTCCCTCCTTCCCTCCCTCCCTCAGGAGCACATGTTCAACCACGTGGGCAGTAAACCCTACAAGTGTGATGAGTGCAGCTACGCCAGCGTCTACAGGAAGGATGTCATCCGGCATGCAGCCGTGCACAGCCGGGACCGGTCAGTGGGGGTAGGCAGGGTGGGGAAGTGGAGGTCTAGGGGCCACTGCTGCCAGCTCTGGGCCAGCCCTACCCAAAGCACCTTGTAGATGCCAATCAGCAGAGCAGCCCATCCCGGATCCCTTGGCTCAGAAAGGCCAGGCTAGGGGCACAAGGTGTCCAGCCCGGGCTCTTGTCTGCTGCCCTCCTGTGACATGGAGACAGTCACATGTCTGAAGGGGCTCCCTGTGTGAACTGAGCAAGCCCACGCTCCGGAGTGCGTGGTGCTGAGAGCAAACACGTGGGGCGGGGCAGCTTCAGGCTTCCTTTGGGACCTAGCTCTGGGTCACACACATTACCATTACAGCTTCAGGGAGGGGTTAGCTTGCACCTTGTGGGGAAAGGTAGGCACAGGTGGATTGGGGGCCCCCAATAAGAGCCCGGCAGCCAGGTTGAACCTGGTTCCACAGCCCTTTCCTGCAGGATTTCTGACTCAGAGAGAGGGTTGGGGCTGGTGCAATGGGCATTTCCTGCGTACCTCAGAGGGACCCCAGCAGGAAAGGGGCTTTGGTGAGCAGTAGGGATACCCAGCTGCAGCTAGGGCGGGCTGTTTTGAGGGGCTGAGGCGTGGGCGTGAGGAGTTGGAGTCTAACTCCTATGTTACTCTCCCCCAGGAAGAAGAAGCCAGATCCGGTGAGTTGGGGCCCCTGCCTGGGAAGGGTTGCGGGCAGATGGGTGGGTGGTGGGGACCAGAGAAGGAGGTGTGGTCTCACTCTCTCTGGCCCCCTCTGGTCCCTTCTCAGACCCCGAAGCTGAGCTCTTTCCCGTGCCCCGTGTGTGGTCGAGTCTACCCCGTGCAGAAAAGGCTCACGCAGCACATGAAGACACATAGCACCGAGAAGCCCCACATGTGTGACAAGGTGGGTGGGAGCTGAGGGCAGGGTTCGGACCCCAGGGACCTCCTTGAGGAAGCCCACCGTACCTAAAACTCCACCCCCACCCCCAACCCTTCCAGTGCGGGAAGTCCTTTAAGAAGCGCTACACCTTCAAGATGCACCTGCTCACACACATCCAGGCTGTAGACAACCTCAGGTACGTCCCTCGGGAGCCCCCAGGATCAGAGTGCCCCATCTCGCCCCTAGTGCTGAGCTTCGCGCCCCCAACCGCCTCCAGGTTCAAGTGCGAGTTCTGTGAGTTCCTGTGTGACGACAAGAAGGCACTGCTGAACCACCAGCTGTCCCACGTCAGCGACAAGCCCTTCAAATGCAGCTTCTGCTGCTACCGCACCTACCGGGAGGACTTCCTGCTATCCCACGTGGCCATCAAGCACACAGGTGGGCGGCCATGCCCTGCCAGCTCCGCCCCTAGATCAGAGGCTCTCTTCCTCCTGAGCAGCCAGCCAAGAGCTTCAGCTTGACCACAGACGCTGGGTGACTAGACCAGGCCCTTGCTTTCTCTGAACCTCAAGTTTCCTTAGCTGTGAAAGCAGGGACGACAGGTCAGAAGCAAATGGTTAGGAAAGCTCATTCCATCTCTCATGGGCATGGCCAGAGACGGCTCTGGGGTCGAGGTCTGCAGTGGAGTGCTGTCCTTGGCACACGTAGTGCCCTGTGCTTGGCCACTGACGGGAGTTTTTCCTCTTTGTTGGCACTGTCCCCGTGGCAGGCACCCGGGGAGATTGGGAAAGGGAGCCCAGCAGGCAGTGGCCGACTCCTGCCAAGCACAGCATGCTGGGCGGGGGCATTGTGTCCCATGGCCTTGGAGACGAGCAGTTGCAGGCAGGCATGAGTTCCCAGACACGTGGGCTCACTGGCACCTTGCACCGCAGTGGTGGGAGTGAACCGGGCAGCCGGGGCCTTGAGGTCCGGGTGGCATTCTGGGGAGTGGGGCTGGGCCAGTCCTGGCGGGGCGGGTGCCAGCATCCCCCACGTGTGCCCACAGGCGCCAAGCCCTTCGCCTGTGAGTACTGCCACTTCAGCACTCGGCACAAGAAGAACCTGCGCCTGCATGTGCGCTGCCGCCACGCCAACAGCTTCGAGGAGTGGGGGCTGCGGCACCCCGAGGACCCCCCCTCCCGCCGCCGTCCCTTCTTCTCTCTGCAGCAGATCCAGGAGCTGAAGCAGCAGCACGCCTCACCCCCCGTGCTGCCGTCCGCCCCCTCGGGAAGCTCCGAGGTAAGCTGGGCTGAGGAGGCAGCTATTTACAGAAAGAAGGGGCTCGGGGTCTGGGCCTGGGGACTACGTGCCGTCCAGCACCATGCCAGCCTGCAGCAGCTCCTGTGCCTGCAGGTTGCAAAGCAGTCCTGCTTCTCTGGCTGTGGGACACATCAGCTGGGCCCCGGGGAAGGGAGCCCACGCGAGCATAGGGTCGGGGCTGCCTTTCTGGTTTTAGGAAGAGACCAGAAAATACCAGTGGCGTGTTAAGGTGGCAGCTTGTTTTCCCTCCGATAAAAGAGCACCAAGATCTCCAGTCAGTCAGAGCAGGCCCCAAGCTCCCTCTCTGCTTCGCTCAGCCTGTCTAAGGGCAAGGTGTGGGCCTCATGGTCGGCTGAATAGGTCGTAATGATGACCCCAAGCCGCTTCCTCCTGAACTCTGCCCAAAGCTCCTAGCTCTACCTAACTACGGGGAGGGCGGCGCTGGGCCATGTGGTCTTGTAATCGGGTCTTTTGGCTCCTTGAAAAACGGGGCAGACACCCCAACCCCAGGGAGACAGCAAAGGTGGGGCCCGGCCCCCCATGCACTCTGGTACTGCCTTGGAGCGGTGGGAGAACACAGGCGCTGGAGCCGGACAGTCTTGGGTCGGAGTCCCAGCCCTGCCTCTTCCCAGCTGCGGGCCCTGGGCAGGTCCCTGCAGCTCCCTGAGCCTGGTAAATAGCATGGCAGGTGGTGATGACGAAATAAGTCTCCAGATGTAAGGTGGCCGACACACAGGGGGGCCTGCATCAGTGACACACCTCAGTCACTTTCTCCTCACCCCACAGAACCTCCCGGAAGCAACAGCCTTCCAATCATCGGATACGCCCTCACTGCTCTGCCCTGACACCCTGAGCGGCGCCACCATCATCTACCAGCAAGGTGAGTGCGGAGGAAGGGGCTGAGGGCTGAAGAGGGGAGGGGACAGTTGTCTGGCCCTTCCTAAAGCCCCGCCCTCCCTTGCCCCCAGGAGCTGAGGTGTCCGCGGCGATGGCCACGCAGACGGCCTTGGATCTGCTGCTGAACATGAGCGCCCAGCGGGAACTGGGGGGCACTGCCCTACAGGTGAGGGCCAGGCCCCGCCGCCATAGCCAGCCCTACCCAAGGCTCAATTAGTGGGGAGACACCTACTGGGGTGCAGGGGAGGGACAGGTGGACTAGGGTGCCCAGTCAAGTGTTCCTACTCCCTGGGCTGGGTGCTCTTCCTAGCTCAGGGCCATCTTGCGCCTGGACCTCCCCAGAGCATGAGCTAGCTTTCGGTCTCAGGGACTCGCACTGCCTGAGGAGCCCAGGCCCTTGGTGCTCAGGCCTTGCTCAGGACATGCTCTTTGGGAGGCCAGCAGGCGCTCCGCGGGGTCAGGGCCGCTGCTCCAGGCAGTCGTCTCACACTGCCCCTGCCTCCCGCCACCCACCCTGTGTTCTTCAGTGGGCTTCACACTTCTCACTGTACTCTTCCCTCCACCCGGAACTGCTCCTTGGTGTGTACAGAGAGGGAGGGTCTGACCTCATTCTTCTTCAGAAAACCAGCCATGCCACACGGCCCACTGCCTTCAGCCCCTCCGGAGGGCTGCAGTCCCCCCTGAAGCCTAGGTTAGGTTTCAACCTCCTAGAATCTTTGGGGCTGTGCTGTGACTTGATCCGCTGTGCAGGTGTACCGCTACAAGCTGCCCCTCTGTCTGATGGTGGGACAGCAGCTTATTTAGAAACGATGACAGACCAGGAATGCTGGGTCCAGGTGGCGGGAGGCTGACATTTCGCCCCGGACCCTGCAGGCTCACTGGCTTGACTCCAGAGCAGTGCCCCCACTTAGACTAAGACAGCTGTGAGCAGCCGCTCGTGCTCAGTGGGCCCTGATTTACACAGCCCCTCCAGCACCCTGGGGCACTCTGCAGCGTCTGCACGGAGATGTTCGCCGGGAGGGTTAGTTGTGTCTAGTTTATCACTAGCTCAAGCTGTGCATCAGGGCCCGGTCTATTTCCAAGTGTTTAAATCCTGGTTGTTGATAGGAAGGAAAGCCCCCTGGAAGCAGGAGCGATGGCTCAGAGGGTCTGCAGCCCTTAAAGGAGAGCCCGTTTGCCAGGGCAGGTGTGCATGCCTCTGGTCAGAAGTTGGGTTCCCATCTCTTTTAAGCCACCCATCTGCCGGAAACCCCTGCATGGTCTTAGTTTCTGGAAGCACGCCCTTCTGTGTCATCGGAGGTCTGCTTCTTCTCTGAATTGTCTGTGTCTTGTATCTGGTTTTCTGTTGCTCTTATTGTCGCCACGCGAGAGCCCTTTGTACGTGAGGGACCCACTATGCCCACTGTCCTCGAGGACGGCCCTTCTCCAGGGGTCGATTCTCGCGCGCTTAGCCTTCGATGGCGTCCGCGTGGACTGGTCCTCATGTTCTTGCTCAGGGCTACTGGTATCATGCTGAGACACTCTTGCCAAGTACAAAATCCTAAAGGTTTACAGTGAACCCTCGTTTATCGCGGTTAATCGGTTCTAGACCCTACCGTGATAAATGAAATTCCGCGAAGTGGGATTCCTTATTTGTAAATCAAATATTTTCGTAGTTAGAGCATAGAGGACGTGAAAAAACACCCTTTAGTCACCATTACACTCGTATTACCCAATTTATTAAACGAAAAAGGGAAAATACAGTAAAACATTTTGGACGTTACTATTATCATTTATTATTTATTATATTATTTATGGCATCTAGTTTACAGTATTACATATTTCACATACAGTATTATACATAGTTCTTACAAATACTGTAATCAATAGCCTATGAAATGACTTAAGGGATGTACTCTATAGGTGGGTCGCCATCTTTTTCCTCTGAAGGAGCGGGTGTAGGCAGTGGGTGCTGTTACACAAAAACCGTGATAGAGTGAAGCTGCGGAAGTCGAAGCGCGAAGTGGCGAGGGTTCACTGTATCTTCCTATTTCCTTCTAGGAGCCTTCCTGGTCTTGCTCTGACATGTAGGCTGTTGTTCCCTTGGGGTTCATTTTTGTGTTCTGAATGAGGTAGGGGCTACCGCAGGGTCTCCGAACTTTAGCACTACTAACATGTGGAGCCAAATAACTCTTCCTTTGAGGAGGGGGCTGCCCTGCATTGTAGGATATTTAGCCATCTCTGTGGCCTCTGAGGTTGAACGCTGATGGTATAGTGCAAGGTCAACAGTTCAAACCCACTAGTCACTCCCAGGGAGAAAGATGAGACTCTCTACCCCTGTAAAGAGTTAGTCTCCTCCACCCCCTGGGATCACTGAGTTCGCATTGACTCAGTAGCAGTGAGTTTGGCATCTCGGTGGCCTCTGGACACTAGATGCCGGCAGCACCCGAGCACCACCTGAAGTGTAACCACATGTCCCCAGACATGGCACCTGCGCCCTGGGACAAAAGCACTCCATCCTGTGCTTGCTGGGTCTCCTTCCAGGTGTGGGTAAGGCTGGAGAGCGCTGGGGCTCTGGCTGGGGCACGGAGCTGGTTGTGGCTCCACCTCCGGCTCTACTTGCTGATGCCTTTTTTTTCCTTTTTTCCTCCCTGTTCCTACTGGTGCCTTTGCAGGTGGCTGTGGTGAAGTCTGGGGATGTGGATGCAGAGCTTGCGCCCTCTGGTGGGCAGCCCTCCCCAGAGGGGGCCACTCCACAAGTGGTGACCCTGCACATGGCAGAGCCAGCAAGCAGTGTGTCAGCCGAGAGCCAGCTAGGCCCCCCTGACCTACAGCAGATCACCCTGGCGCCAGGGCCATTTGGCGGGGCTGGCTACAGTGTCATCACAGCACCCCCCATGGAGGAGGGGACGTCAGCTCCGGGCACACCTTACAGGTAAGATCTGTAGCCTGCAAGCACCACCTCTAGATTGGGGAGGAGGGTCCCATGAGGGCCAAGCCCAGGTGACAGGAGGCAGGTCCCTGAGAATTAGGAAGCAACTGAGTGTTGTTGGGGCCGCCTGCACCCCGTGTCAGGAGCCCCTTTCCTGCCCTCACCTCACAGGGGCGGGTCCGCGAGGCGCGGGCTCGGAGAAGTGCTCCTCTGTCACTCTGAGATGGCCCAGACTTGGAACCCTTGTGCCCATCCGCTGCTGGTGGCTGGGGGTCCTGGCAATGGCTGCCGTGTGCACGGGCAGAGCCTTCTCCCCAGTGTCCCCATCCTGTCCCCACACCTGACTCCTTCCAGGCCACGCACCTTTGAGGCAGAAAGGCCTGCGTGTTGACGAGCTCAAGCTGTCCGTGGGAGGGCCCGAGCCCCGGTGCTGTAGCTGGGCTGGCAGTTGGGATCCCTGCTGTGCCCAGGGCCAGCCCCTCAGCACTGGGCCTCTCCTCTTCACCTGCTTAGACCCCCCAACCTCCACCCCTCCCATCCACTCCCACCCCCCTGCCACCTGTTCCTCTTGGACAGGCCCCAGGGCTCTTGGCTTCACCTCCCACCACGCCCCCTGAAAGGTGGAATTTCCCCCTTTTGAGCAGAACTGTGTATTGGGCAGGGGGCCCTTGCAGGACACTAATCAGCTGTGGATGGAGAGGTTCATACCCACCATCCTCTGGGGAGCAAGACCTGGAAGCTTGCTTCTGTAAAGCTCGCCCATCAGGAGACCCAGTAGAGCAGCTGTCCTTTGGTGTCCCATGGTTGCTATGAGTTAAAATGGTCTTAGTGGCCCCAACAGCAACGTATGCTGGGCACTGATGACCGTTGACAGTGCAGGGTCAGCAACAGGCGGAGCCAGGACCCCAGGCAGGTCCTTCCAACTCCTGGGCCCTCTACGTTGGCACTCACCCTTGGGTGATGATAGATCAGGGGGCAGGAGACCCCTGTGGGCCTCCATCCTCTACCCAAAGCCTACCGTTGCTGTCCTGCCCACAGTGAGGAGCCCTCCGGGGAGGCCGCCCAGGCTGTGGTGGTGAGTGAGGAGGCCCTGAAAGAAGCTGGCACCCACTACATCATGGCGGCCGATGGCTCCCAGCTGCACCAAATTGAAGTAAGACCTTAACCGGAGGGGCCGGCTCCTGCCCCACCTTCACCCTGGCCCAGTCCCTCACCCTCCCCTTGTCTCAACAGCTGACTGCCGACGGCTCCATCTCCTTCCCAAGCCCTGAAACCCTGGCCTCAGGCACCAAGTGGCCCCTGCTGCAGTGTGGGGGATTGCCCAGAGATGGCCTTGAGTCCCCATCCCCAGCCAAGACCCACCAAGGTGGGGGCCTGCAGGCCTCTGCCTCCCCGCCGCCCACCACGGCTGTGCCGTGGAAGAAGTTTTCCTGCAAGATCTGCGCCGAGGCCTTCACTGGCCGAGCGGAGATGGAGAGTCACAAGCGGGCCCACGTCGGGCTCAGGGCCTTCAAGTGCCGCTACTGCCCCTTCAGTGCCTGCCAGTGGCCCGAAGTTCGGGTAGGTGATCCCCCAGCTGTCACTCACAGGCCACTTAACTGTGTAGCAAACCTTTATTGTGCACACCCTCCAGCCAGGCTGTCACGAGATCCCGGCTTGAGGGCACTTGCTCCCTGTCCCGTACGTAGACAGACCAGATAGAACAGGGCGAATGCCAGACTGTGTCTCCCATGAGGACAAAGTGCACAAATGGAGAAGAGTCTTGGGGTGGAGGGGCTCGCGCAGGGCTGAGGTGGAGCTTGGCCAGCCGACTGAAGGCACAGAGGTGGATGGCAGCATGCTGAGGGACATGTATCTGGAGCTCTGTGGGCAAGGGTGCACGTTCAAGGGCAGTGATGGGAGCCAACGCAGAGAAGATAAGTGAGGGATGGGCTTGCCTCGGCCCATGGCCTCCCAGGTGTCAGGCCTGTGGTGGTCCTCCCACCCAGCCCTCGCAATAGGGCATGAGCAGGGACAGGGTCGTTGGGTGGACCGAGTGGGCACAGGCAGTGGGAGCCAAGGCTGCCTCTGCTGCCCGCAGGCCCACATGGTGCAGCACTCAAGCCTGCGCCCCCACCAGTGCAACCAGTGCAGCTTCGCCTCCAAGAACAAGAAGGACTTGCGGCGGCACATGCTGACCCACACCAACGAGAAGCCTTTTGAGTGCCACCTCTGCGGGCAGCGGTGAGGCGGCACCCAGGGTGGGGTGGCAGGGCCCTGGGGCTGAGCGGGTGCTGAGCCTCTCCTGCCCGCCCCTAGCTTCAACCGCAACGGGCACCTCAAGTTCCACATCCAGCGGCTGCACAATCCTGAAGGGAAGAGGCTGGGGCCGCCTCCAGTGCAGACACCCAACCAGACCATCATCATCAACAGCGACGACGAGACGCTGGCCTCCTTGCACAGTGAGCTGCCTGCAGGGCCACAGGGTCTGCAGGGGTGGCCCTCACACTTCCCGGGCCCTGGGTAAGCATCTCTCTCTCCACCTAGCGGCCCTCCAGTCCACTCATGGGGTCTTGGGCCCAGAGCGGCTGCAGCAGGCACTGGCCCCAGAGCACATCATTGTGGCCCAGGAACAGACTGTGAGCAACCAGGTGAGAGGCCGGGGCGGGGCCGGGCATGGGCCGAGAGGCAGGGCAGAGCTATAGTCCGCTTGTCTCCAGCAGGAGGAGGCCACCTACATCCAGGAGATCACAACTGCAGATGGCCAGACGGTGCAGCACCTCGTGACCTCCGACAACCAAGTAAGCAGCTGCTCAGCCCCATGCTGCCCCTGCCCCCCACCCCACACTGACACAGCCTGACCCTCTGGCCTCGCCACGCCCCTCAGGTACAGTACATCATCTCCCAGGACGGAGTCCAGCACCTGCTCCCCCAGGAGTATGTTGTGGTCCCTGAGGGCCACCACATACAGGTGAGGCAGGCGTGGGGTCAGGGTGGAGCCGGAGGGGTGCTGCAGGGCCCCCTCCCAGCATCACCAGCGGGTTCCTCTCCAGTTACAGGATGGCCAGATTACACACATCCAGTATGAGCAGGGCACTCCGCTCCTTCAGGAGTCCCAGGTAGGACTCGTGGGACCTGGAGGGGGCCAAGGCCTGGAACCGGCCTGCTGAGCTGTCTCATCCCTACTCCCTGCAGATCCAGTATGTGCCCCTTTCCCCGGGCCAGCAGCTTGTCACCCAGGCTCAGCTGGAGGCTGCAGCACACTCGGCCGTCACAGGTATGGGTGAGATTGAGTGGGTGCTGCGGGGCCAGCTCCTAGGCTCAAGCTCACATATTACACCCCCACCCCCACCCCCAACCACCACCACCTTGGCAGCCGTGGCCGATGCCGCCATGGCCCAAGCCCAGGGCCTGCTGAGCTCGGAGGCAGCCCCAGAGCACATCCAGCAGCTACAGCACCAGGGCATCGAGTATGACGTCATTACGCTGGCAGACGAATGACCCAGAACCCAGCACCAACCAGCTACATGGCCAGCCCTAGTGTGTGCAGGGGCCTCCAGGACATCAGGTGCTGGGCCATCAGCGTCCTGTCACTCAGAAGCCAGACCTGTGCTACAGGGGGTGAGGGTGGCCAAAGGCCCCAAGCGGGACTTGCTGGGGGTGGGGGTGGGTGGTAGCCTGCGGGCAGGCTTGGAGAGAACTTTTATTTTCATTTGGATGCACCCTTTGGCCCTCAGTCTCAATAAAAGGGACCAGAGTTCAGCCCTGGCCGGGTTGCTTTGTCCACTTGCTATAGCCCGGAGCCCAGGCAGGCCCTGGGAAGTGGTGGAAGGTGGAGCCTGGGAACTGCCCAAGTAGCCGGTGTGTGCCCTCTGTGGCTTCCCTGCCACTGTGAGTAGAGGTCTGCCTGCCAGCCAGGGCAGAGTCCATATGCTGGCTGTGCTGCAAGCGTGTTGTGGAGCAGCTGCAGGGCGTTGAATTGTGGGCTGGCCATGGCCTCCAGCCCTTCATGCAGGGGTGGGTGCAGGCCCAGGTGGGGTATGAGGCTGGGAGGTGGGTGATAAAGGGATCAGTGCAGTGGGGACTGCGAGTGACAGGCAGGCATCAGAGTGGTGAAGGGCCAGGGCCCGGAGAAGGTGAGCCTGTTTGTTGACGGGCTGGTCCCCATTCCTCAGCCTTCTCTGCCCTCAAGACCCTCACGAGTTCTTGGGAGGGTTTCTGTATTTCATTTTACAAATGAACAAGGTGTCAGCCGTGGGAAGGTTGGGGGCGGGATGGGAGGCATGGACCTATTTACAGGATCTTGGAGTGAGTTCAAGGTGTGGCATTGGGGGACGGGGCAGGGAGGGGAGCCCTGGCAGAGCCATCTCTTCCTATGACGTTCGTTGGCAGTCTGACCTGCTGCCTCCCAGGGGGAGGGTCCTGGGGTCTGCTTAGCCCCTAGGAGCCCGAGTCCCAGCAGTCCGTCAGGCCCTGGGCCCACCTCCCTGCACAGTGTGCTAAGTGGGGTGAGCCTCTCGGCTGGGGCCCTGCTCTCGGCTCGAGTCCCTGTCATCCGAGGACGATGCTGACGAGCTGGAGCCGTGGCCACGGCTGGTCTGCCGGTACGCAGCACTCAGCTCCTGGAGCCGTTCGGGCGTTGGCCCCCACTTGGCAAAGCCAGGCTCGTTCTGCAGGAAGAGCACCACCGTGTTGTAGACGGACTTGTAATGCATCTCCTCCCTGTGACGATGAGGGACAGCGCTTAGGGCCGGCCCCAGGCCGTCCACCCTCTGCTCGGGGCCAGCCCCAAGCTCCAGGCCCCACCCTCCAGAGGCCTCCCCTGGGCACCCACTTCTTGCAGACGTGCTGGGAGCCACTGCGGTACTCATGCTCGAAAGCAGGCAGGACCAGCTGGTGGCGCTTGAAGCGACTCTGCTCCATGCGGGTGAGCGCCGGTGTCGGGGGTTCCCGCCACTCGGGGATGTACACGATGAAGGACAGGGGCTCCGGGGAGCTCTCCAGCAGTTTCTGTGGGGGCAGGGTGGGCGTCGGGGCTGCTCTTGGCACAGCTGGCAACCCGGCCAGCTCCCTGGCAGCAGCAGCATCACTCACCTCAAAATGAGAAACTGTGGCATCCATGAGCTCCTCACAGAAGGGCGGGTTGGCCTCAAAGGAGCCACTCAGTGGGGAGAAGTCCAGGCAGGGCCTGGGGACAGGAGAGCAGCCAGCCCCTCACAAAACTGCTGAGGTAGCGGGGATGAGGCAGGGTGGTCTCCCCCCAGTGGGTGAGACAGCTCAGGGACAGTGCGCTAGCTCGAGGAGGCTGAGAGGAAACCCAGCTCTGCCTCATGGACTCCCGGCCCCCGAGCCTGTGCCCTCCCCTCACATCTGTGCTCCCCTCGAACCGGGGCGCCCCTAGTGCACACGGAGCGAATTCCCCAAGAGGCACAGACACCAGGGTGGGCTTCCGGGGCGGGGCTTCAGCAGTACATGCTAGAGCAGAGACTACCCAGGCTAGACTGGGCTGCCTCTGCAGCCTTAGAGCACTATACTATACTGCTGGCCGACGGGGGCTCCGCCCCCCAGACCTACCCTCGGGAGCCGAAGTAGCCATCTGTGTCCAGGAAGGCAGAGCAGTACTGGCGGAAGTAGCAGTTGAGGGGTGAAGCGAAGCACTCAAAGCTGACGCCAAAGAGCCGGTGGAGGGCCTCGAAGACTTGCACGGGCAGTGCACCCTGCAGGCCTGTCCCCTCGTAAAGCCCCACGCCAAACATCATCTGCCGGGGGAAGTTCAGTCAGCGAGCACCCAGCTCTCTCCACCTCCCTTCCCCTCCAGGGCCCACTGACCAGGCCCATACCTGGTACCGGCGGAGGAGACACCAGACTCGGGGCAGGAACCTCTCAAAGGCAGAGTCATCGATGCAGCTATAGCGATACAGGAGCCACTGGGGACAGGGGGGAGGGGGTGTTGCCAGTGGCCCCCCGCTCTCCAGTACTAGTCTCTTGCTGAGATGTAGGCAGAACCTGGGGTCCCCCACTTGTCCATCCATTAAGAGTGCTTCTCCCATGGGTGGGGACTTGACACTTACCAGCTTGCTGAAGTAGTTGCGGCTGACTTTGACCATCTCGCCCTTGTACCGCAGGCAGACCATGTGGCTCTCCATGTGCATCTCCACGTTGGGCAGGGGGGGCGCAGACACGGCCAGCCGTACCGGGTAGCAGTACACTAAGCGGGGCTCCACCTCGGGGGCCTCCACCACCTCTGTAGGCAGAGACAGCAGTGAGGAGAGAGCTGGTCCTCCCCGCCCGAGGCTGTGGCCCAGCAAGGAGAGCGAGCAAAAGGTCAGAGAAACACCCAGGCCCTCAGTGGGGCGTCCGTCCATCTGCCTACCAAGTGCCAGGTAGGACCCACTGTGCCATCCAGGCACCCAGTGGCTGGGGCTTAGGGGTCCCACCGCCTGGTGGGTGTGCCCCAAGAACATGGGGGCCACACTCTTCCTCGGGCATATTACATCTCCCCCTGCCAAAGCCCTTCTCCTGGTGCTGGGTCGGGGGAGTGGGCTCCCCACACCTGCCCAAGGCCCAGCTTCACTGTGCCTTCCCGGGGCCGAGGCCGGGCCCTACCCGAGATGCTGTTCTCCTTGAGGATAGCAAGGTGCTTCTCACGGATCCGCCTGACGTACTCCAGGGAGATGTGGTAGATCTTACTGCAGATGCCCTCCACGGAGTCCTTGGCCGCAGCCAAGACATGGGGGCCGCACTGCCTCCGCAGGTGTTCCAGACGGTCCTGGGGGAAAGCTGTTGGTCAGGGGGCACCGAGGGCCTCTGCTGGATCCTTTGGCAGAGAGGCAGGCTCTGCTGCTCACCAGCAGTGTTCCTTGGACAGAGCCCTGGGCTTGTTTAAGCTTTGTCCCTCTATTGTCGGGGACAGGGATTTGTCACAGGGCAGAGTGACTGTCTGCTCACCCCTTCACCTGGCCCTGGCCCCAGCCCCATGTGCAACTTTGGAAAACAGAGTGGGCAGCACAGCCCCAAGTGCTGAGGGCAGCATGGCGACCAGGCGTCCTTGCTCACTGCAGCTTGGGAGTGACCTGGGTGTGTGTAGCTTTGAAGAATGGTGCATGAGCTTGGTGAGTGGCTAAGAGTCCCTGCGACTGCTGGCCCTCTGAGGGTCAAATGCACGGTGCCTAGCAGCCTGGAAGCGAACACCATCTTGCTGGACCCCTCACCATGTAGTCCTCCTTGGAGGCCGAGTGGTCCTTCCGCAGCCAGCTGAAGGTGTCCTCCACGTTCCACTTGACCACCTTCCTGCTGTCAGGGGATGCACTCCTGGGAGGGAGAGGAAGAAAGGCTGCTGTTGGTGGTGGCCACCCTTATTTGACTCCACCTTGGGAGCGGGACAGGTGGCCTCCAACTCCCCCACCCCCATCACAGGCCCATCTCGCTTGGGGCAGAGGGCCAAACCTGGACTCAATGAGCCTCCGGGCGGCCTCTGCATATTTGAAGAGCAGGCGCTTGGCTTCCTCCCGAAACTTGATCCGGGATAGCCTGGAGGCAGGGTGTCGACCTTAAGGCCCAGAAGGGGCTGGCCTGGAAGCCAGGTGGTGGAGGCCCTCCCCAGCCTAGGGCTGTACCTGATGGGAATGTCATTCATGATTTCTCGAAACATGGATGGCGACACAAGCGGCTCGCAGTCGCTGGGCAGCAGGGGGTCCGAGCCTTTGTCCACCACCTTGCGCTCCAGCAGCCAGCGGTTGAAGGATTCCCGCGGAGGTTCAATGCCTGCGAGACGGAGACTGCCTGGTTGAGGAGTGGCACCTGGCCTGGCGCGCGGGGGCCCTCGGCCTGCAGAAGTCTGTCTTAGGCAGACTCAGTCACTGGTTTCAAAGTGTGCTCATGAAGTTGCACACGGTTCAAAGGGGTGCGGCAGGGTCTTACAGTCCCACCATGGTAGCAGGCCTGTTGATTGATTCTAACCAATAAAGACTGCTGATGACCGAGCTGGTGTCCCTCCGCGTGCTCCCTGCAACCACTCCGGGAGTTGGAAGCCTGCAGACTGATGGGAGCACCCAACCTGGCCTGGTGGAGACATCCCTGCTGGCTGGTGCAGCTGTTGCTCCCCACACCCCCATGCTTCACAGGTGAGGAGATGGGTGCGGAGCCTGGGGTTAGTGCCACCAGGCCTGGGGGCTGGTGCCCTCTTGCTCACCCTCTCTCTGCTGGCACAGCTCCCGGTAGTGCTGCCGGAGCTTCAGGATGAGCTGGGAGCGGAGCAGCTCCACCTCGGGGTGAGGGGGCAGCACCTCCGAGGGCCCCCGGTGCTTGATGACGGCATTGGTTTGGATGTCCAGGTCCCAGTACACCCTTGGGACACAGACAGATGCAATGAGGAAAAGGGGGTGCGCCCAGCCCACCACCACCCGTGATGGATGGGGCCCCAAGCCTCACTCGGTGGGCCGCAGGAGGGCTGCCTGCTGTTTGTCTTCAGGAGATGCCCCCCAAATCTTCAGTGTTGGAGTTCCTGGAACACTGGGGGAGCTGGGCACTGATGGGCCCGTGGGTGTCACGGGGATTTCGATCTGGAGAGAGAACCCCAGTGGTGTTGGGTTGGGCAGGTGGGCAGCAGCTCCAGCACTCGGGCACTGGGCCCCCCGCCTGAGCAGCAAGCTGCTGCCTGCCTGAGCTGATGCCCATCGCCTGGTGCTGGGAGGCAGCCACTCACCTTGGGCTTCTTCACGCCATTGCCGCGGGGCTGCTCGTCGGAGAGCTGCCGCTTTCGGGGCTTGTTCTCAGCCGGGGGGGTTTCCACCAAGCTCGTGTCTTGGGGTAATGGGGTTGCATTCAGCCCCAAAGGGTCCGACTAGTGGAGGGAGACCAGCAGAGTTGCAACGGGGGCCAGTTCCTCGGACTCCTGCTCCCCTCGCCCCTGCCCCTGCTTGGTGGAGGGGTAGGCACGACATGGAGCGGGGGACCTGGACACCACTCCTCACTGGCTGTGACCACTCTGTCAGTCAAGCTGCTGTCCAGCCTCTCCCCTCGCCTCCCAAAAGGGCTCGCTGAACCCAGCCCCCTCTCCGAGGGGCGTTCAGTGAGCCCTGCGGTGACTGAGTGGCCGCACAGAGAGCCGGCTCGGGGCTTGCTGTGTGAAGCCCGTTCCCTTAAGGACCAGAACAAGAATTCAAGCAAAACCTGATGGTCAGAGCACAAGACCCTCCAGATGGGCAGTTCTCCAGAGCTTGTGTCCACACTTGGCCCTGAAGGCCCAGCAAGGTGCAAGGTCTGTGAGACCCTGGGTCAGTTAGTTTCTTGCCTCCATTTCTCCACTTGGGTTGACTGTCCAGTGAAGAACACTGGCCCCAGCCAAGGACCCTGAAGCCAGAGGGTAGGCCCTCCTTCCTGCCCCCTCACACCTTTACCTTGCTAGCCTGCCTACCACTAACTCTCCTGGCAGCGTTTCTAGCCCAAGCCAGCCTGTTCAAAGAGACCTCATACCCACCCTGTGGTGCAAGGGCCTTGATGATGTTCCTATGGCCACTGGACAGGTGCCCAGGCCGTCCAGTCCACAGAACACAGCTAACTCAGGCAGGACCGTGACTGGCACCAGCACAGTGCCCTTGCACCATTGTTAACCACACCCATCCACTGACTGGTCAGTTTCCCATTAGGGTGTAAGGACAGGGACTGGGGCCTAATGGCCACTCAGGGTCCATCGGGGGTAGCCGCACAGAAACCCGCCCCAGGTTGGCACTCACGATCACGTCATGCTGGCCCAGCACGGGCATCTCCCACAGGGACTGGTTGGTGAAGCGGTTGAAATAGTAGGGCCGGTTCTCCCTCCTGCTCCAGCACTTCTCCCAGCCAGCGTGCACCAGCTCTTCTGCAAACAAGCGCAGGGCTGCTCCCAGGTGCCCCTGCCCCCACCACCCCCTTGCCCCCCACCAGGCTTGGGGCTGCTCCCAGGTGCCCCTGCCCCCACAACCCCCTTGCCCCCATCCAGTACCTGGGAGGTCCTGCGCCAGACGAACGGGCTTTGGAGAACAGGGCTGGCTCTGATTGGAGGTGCTCGGGGAGTGACTCAGCAAGGACGCCTCCTCCCGAGGGCTGCCGTGATTCTCATTGGCCATCTCAGCACCCACACGGGACCTGCCGCACAGAGGACCAAAGGTGGTCAGGGCCAGCCATGGAGGGGACCAGCTGTGTTCCCACCAGCTGATCACAATCCACTGGGGACCCCAGTGACCACCCTCGGGGAGACTCCCAATCCTGGCTGGAGATGCCAGCATTAGTGCCACAGCTGAGGGCAGAGGGCCCTCATCCTTAGAAGAGTCCAGTTCTTTGCTGGGTTGGTCCCCTGCTCTTCCAGGAAGCCTTTATTGACTCCTGTGCTGGGTGGTCAGGGCCCTTCTTGAGGGCCTCTTAGCCCTGATGGTCTGGTCTACCAACTGGGCTTGTTCCCAACAGAGGGTCAGGAATCCCAAGGGTAGGCTGGATGCAGCAGCTCTCCAGCACACCAGGTACCGGGTCCAACTGGAGCTCCGTTTACCTTTGCAAATCTTTCCAAAGCATGTGGAGTGGCAAGCAGGACAGGAGAAGGCCGGCCTTGAGATAGGATTCCTCCCAGAGGGAATGGTCACTCTGCCCCTTCCCTGCCACCAAGTGGAACCACGGAACAGAGTGATGCACGAGTGGGGCCCGTTCTCCATTGCTGGGCACCCGCTGTACATGAGGGTGTGTACACCCAGTGGGATCCTTCATAATCCCTGGGGGAAATTTATCTGCATCCCCAGCAAGGTCTCCTTGGGGTCTGCATTCCCCACCACCCCCACCCACGGCACACCCCGGGTTGCGTCAGTGCCCAAGTGTGTCCCTGCTCTGAGGGAGCCGGACGAGGTGGGGCTGGTGCCACTAAAGCTGTTCTCGGTGTGTCACAATGCCCAAAAGAAACCAAACATTTACCCACAAAAAGACTACGAAGGCAAGTTTAAACATCAAATATCTTTGCTTGCTGAAACTTTTATCAACTCAGTGAGGTCACGTTATCACTCGCTGGTCAGTTCTGCTCGGCTGTTGATGACATCATAGGAAGCGTTGGGACAGTGACTTTATTTACACTCAGATATAGCTGTCAGTTCTTAATTTGGAAAGGGGAACATGAATGGCTACTTTTGTCGGTACAGTCTGGCAGACAAAAACGACGGTGGCAACGGGACGTGTCTGCAGCACAGGGGCCGTGGAGACGGAAAGCTCTGGAATCACCAAGGGGAGAAAGGCCGTGAGCGCCTTGGTCTCTGGGAAGGGAATCCCGGTGCCTTGGAGGCTGAGCCCATGGGTTTCAAGGCTGAACGAGGCCCCTCTCTCTCTCTCTCACCCTCTGGGGTCTGCAATGCTAGCATGAGAGGGTTTTCTTCTCTTGCCGATTGGATCCCCGTCCTGGGATCCCAGAGGCAGAAGGAAGCCTGCAGGAAGGCTCAGCACAGGTGACTGGGCTGGTCAGCAGAGGGCTGGACAGGGGCCTTGTGGACTCCTTGTGTCAGCAGCTGGAGAGCAAATAGAAGGAGAGAGTTACAGACATGTGAAATGGCACAGGGCTGGATAACAGCAAGAGGTGCAAGGGCCCAAGTTGGGAGCCCCCAGGATGTATCACAAGGGCACCTTTCAAGCTGTCCACCCAACAAGGACTCCCAGGGATGGGTAGCCTCACAGGGCCTGCAAGCCTTAGAAGCCTGCCCTGGATGGGATGCTCTGTTGGAGCCATCTTTAAAAGCTCTTTGTTTCCTAACAAACAGCCCCGCATTTTCATTGTGCACTCACTGCCATCAGTCCATTCTGACTCAGTGTCATGCTACAGGACAGGGCAGAATTACTCCATCCCTCTTCAGAGGGAGTAGAAAGCCTTCCTCCCCACAGAACAGCAGCCCAAGGAACAACCCTGCCACCAGGGCTCCTCCCATGATGCACTAGGTGTGCTCAAATTTTTATACCCAGTTCAGCCAACCAAAGATCCGTTGTTCTGTGCTGTGCAGTCGACATAAACGCACAGACCCCATGCGACAATGTCGAGTGACCCAGAGGGTTCCCCCGTGGCTGCCACCTTCATGGGGGCAGATCACCAGGGAGCAATTGTAGCACTACCAGGGCTCCTTAAAGTACTCCTGAGAGGGGAAAACACCCAAACACATCGCAGGTTTGGGGACACTGTCCCAAGCTACCCATAACTAAAGTGCCATAACCCCACGAAAGGTCCCTGTAATTAAATCGTATCTTTAAGTACAAACAAAAAACATGCAAATATAAAATACATCTTGATCATCTTTATTTAAAAGTATTACCGCCCCTTCCCCAAGAAATTTTCGGTGATAAGATGTCCCAGGAAGCGGCACTATGGAGAAGAGGCTTAGGGTGGGGCCAAACGAGGTGGGGTGGAGGGGGACAATGCAGCATCTCCTCCGGAGGGCAGCGGGTCACACTCGCTTGGCGACTTAAATTGCCCGGCCGCCTCCGTCTCAATCTTGCGAAAGAAAGGCGGAGAGGAGGCACGCGGAACGTGTATTTAAAACACACACAGCCCTAGAGTAGGGCTGGACGATGGGATGTTTCATTTTTTTCACTTCACATTGGTTGAAAACTTTAACAAACAACAAAAAAACGCATTTAGGATTTGCTTTCCCAAATCCCCAGGTGGCTAAGGTGAAGCAGGTCTGAGGCTGAAGTACCAGCTCTGGGGCGAATCGAGTTCCAGACCCTGCGGCCGCTCTCCAGCTTAGAAACCAATCACTCCACCTCCTTGGTCTCTATGCGCAGTGCAGCCTTTCCTACACTCAGAGAGAGCGACTTCTAAGACAACGAACGCTTTTATTCATCCTGTGGCTTCCCTACCCCCACGCATACCGCAGGCTGAACGGCGCGGAGCAGCTTAAGGATAAATAACTGTATCTGCGCAACCGGGAGAACCCTCCAGAAGGAAGAGCGTCCAGTTCCGGGATTGGAGGATGATGGGGCGGGAGCGCCTGAGGAATCCACCAATCACAGCCCTCTAGCCCCGCCGGGAGGCGTGGCAGGACTCGCAAAGTGCGCAGGCGCAAGGACACGCGCCAGAAGGTGGGGCAAGCTGAGGCGGGCGTGCCCCTCCCCCTCCCCCCAAGCGCTACCGGGGGCGGGCTGCTGGGGCGCGCGCGCCGGCCCATCTCCCGGGCTCCGCCCCCCGCCCCGCCGCGCGCGCCCGCCCCCGGGCTCAGGCGACTCGGAGTCGGAGCCCAACACAAAGGCGGTGGCGGCGGCAGCAGCGGAGGGGCCCTAGAGGCCGCTCCGCCTGCCCTCCAGGCCCACCTTCCTAGCCGTGGCCACCGGCCCAGCCGCCTACTCGCAGGCCTAAGATGGCGGCGGCAACAGAGACGGGGCAAGCGGCAGCCCCGAGCGGGAAGCGCCGGAGGGGCCGCCGCTTCCCGGCACCGGACCCCCCGGACTCTGGCGCGGCTCGCGACGGGACCATGGCTTCCTGGGACCCTTACCTGCCCGGAGCGGACTCGAGGGGACGCGACTACACGTTCTGCTCGGCCGCCCGTTTTGCCGCCTCCGCCTCGCCCTCCCCAGTGCCGCCGCCGCCATTTTGTGTCCCGGCCCGGGACTCCGCGCTGCGCATGCGCTGGTACCGCCTCTGAGGGGCCTCGCCTCGGCCGAGCCGCCATCTTGAGTGTGGCAGGCCCGGCCGGCTCCACGGCCCCTACTTGCTTCCCGCCCCCTCCCCTTTCTCCCATTCTTCTCTGCGCCCCCTGCGGCTCGGAGGAGGAGGGAAACCGCTCCGCCTGCCACGGGCTGAGAAAGGCGGGAGCACACACCGCCACCCCCTGCCTCAGTTTCCCCGCCAGCACACGCGAGGGAGCGGAGGGCGGGTGGCGATGCGCCGGCAGAGTCGGACTGAGTGTGCGCGCCAGGGGGCTCCGGCGCCGCCGCGGACCCGAGCGGAGCCCGGTGACGTAGCCCTGGACCTCCCGGGTAGCTCGCGCCCATCCCCCGCTCGGCCCCGCGACTTCCGGCAGCGCTTCCTCCGTCTGGCCGTGGGCCCCGTAGGTGCGCAGGATGCGTTTCCCGCGGCGCCCCAGTTAGAAGTCCTCTTGGGTGGAAGAAACGCCCCAGGCCCGCGGGACACAAAAGCAAGGGCTTTGGGCACACGTGGGACCTACTAAATGGAGACCTTAGGCCGGTCATGCCGCGGAGCCCGGCTGCAGTCGCTAGGTGCCCCAAGGCCAGCTGCGGGAGTGCTGGGTGGCCTAGGCCAGCAGGCCATTTCACCTCCCTGGGGTGACAGCACCGGCTGTCAGACTCCCGCTTGCTGTGTGGAGCCCGCAGCCAGCTGTTGTCAACCTTCCCAGGGCCGCGACCCCTTCATACAGTTCCTCATGTGGTGGTGACCCCACTCACACCCTTAACATTATTATCGTGCTACTTCACTAATTTTGCTACTGTTAGGAATCGGGCGACCCACAGGTTGAGAACCGCAAAGGTCCCGGCCCTTGGCCCCTGGGGGTGAGGGGACAATCAAAACCGGAGGCTAGCATGAGTGGTCATTAACAGGCTCGCCTCCGTCTGAATGAGTTCAAATCCCTGCCTCCAAATGAATGGCCTTGTGTAGACTTCACCTTTGAACTTGGTTCTCAATTGGAAAACGAGCCTGCCCCAAGGGTTTCCTGAGAATGAGATGCATGTGAGGTTGGTACCTAGCGCCCTCCGCCGGGAGGAAGACCTGTATCCCCACCTCCCAGGCCTGGTAGGAGGACTGTTTCAAATAAATTTGAGCCGGTTCTGTTGGAAGGACCAGAGCTCCCCCCCTCCAGTGCCTGCCTGCCTGCCTGCCTGCCACACAGAGCTTACATTTCAGCTTGCTAGTGTCCATCCCCAGGCCCCACCATCAATCTACATAGGGGACCCTGCTTCACCAGAGACCATGCCCTTGACTGTTTCTGCCTATTCCAATCAATACTGCCAACTTTGTCAAAGGCCCTTGCTTTGGACAAAACATGACAAGGTCACATTCTGCCTGCAGAAGGCCCGGGTTTACCAGCTCCCCAGCAAGTTCTTAACAGTAACAAAAGCCATGTTGCAATTGTTAACCTGTTGCATTTGCTTGCAAAATATTTTCCCAAGCAACACCTGGAAACCTTAGAGGGATAAGAAGAGTAGGGGTGTAGTAAACGTTGAGGTTCACACAGGGCTATAAACAGGACAGCCTGGTTCCCCAGGCTGAGCCCCATAACTGATTTCATAAAAACCACTCCTCTCTGTGTCCTCTCTCAAGTGCCATATTTTTAACTTTTGTATTGTTAGGAACACACATGCAGACAGTGCACAAGACCAGTGTGAGCCCTGATAAACATACAGGCATAAACTCAAAGGTTGAGTAGACCTGAACTAGGTCATGACAGTGCATGTTACTGTTTTTGTGATAACGACATCCTTGTTTTAAGTGTGATCACCTGAGCATGCATCCCTGCTCAGGTTTTGCCTATTTCTTGGACTTTACCTAAATGGGATTATACTGTCTTATTTTTGTGTCTTGACTCCTTTTCCTGGACACAATGCTTGCATGACTTATGACTGTAACACTATAGTTAATGGGTAGTCTCCCTCAGGGCCCAGGAGGGAGGGCCCTTGGCCTGAGGGGAGGGCAGCTGGGCAGCAGAAGGGGCCCCTCTGCTGCCTGCGTGGGGGGGGGGGGGGTCATGCAGCTCAGAGCAGAGCCAAGAGAAAGGTTGGACAACGGCAGGCCACCCAAAGGGGACAGGGTCATGGCAGGAGTAGCTCCTGCTTAAGACACAGCTCCGTCTTCCGGAGTGGTCTTGTGGGAAACAGGAGGAGGACTCTATTCCCTAACATAACGGAATCTGGAAAGCTGGTACTCCACAGTAGGAAAGCCTCTATCTTGGTAAGTTAGAGTTAAAGCCCAAGTACATGATCCTGCTTTAAAAACATGGTTGATTCTATCTCCCTATAGAAGCAGACATCCTTTTCTCTTCCATAGCTTCTCCCAATACAGGTAGTAGGTTTCCTCACCTGTATGCTCAAGGACCTTAATGTAGATACCACCCACCTTGTGACACATGTAGCTACTGAATACATGTGAGTTAAGGCTACCTAACCCACAACCCACCCTGTAGCCACAGGGGGTCTCTGTCTGGTCATATTGCGAATCTAATGAACTCATTTTGTGCTGAAAACTTTGGGACATCGCCCTCGCCCTGTTGTACACTGGCTAAAGTCCTAAGCCCTGAACTTGGCCTTCGAGACCAGCAGTGTGCCAAGCACTTCACAAGCACTCAGATGATCCTCTGTCTGGACCCTCTAGCCAGCTCTCCTTGATCTATTCCCAGCCATCGCCAGCAACTCGTTTCAATATGCTTCTGCCTGGGCCATTCACTTTCATTCTCCACCCCCTCTTCATCCCTCAAGTCTTAGTTTAGAGAGCACCTCCACCAAGCAGCCTTCCCTGAGCTTACCAACCCCGCTCCACCCAGGGCAGGCCGGGTCCTCTCAGTGTTCCCTTAGTGGCTTGTGCTCACGGTGCATGTCCACTTTCTTGTCACTGTCCCACCAGGCGATGAGCTGCTTGCAGGGCCAGCCCTTACTCGCCCCTGTGCCCCAAGCCCAGGGGTATGCTGGCCTGCTAAATGCGTGCTCAGCCACAAGCAGCACTGGGTGGAAGTCCATATGACCTTTCCAGTTTCCCCATTCTAGTCCAGGCCATGGTTGGAACACCCAGGCAAAGCAGGTAGCCCTTTGTGGGGCCCATGAAAAGTTTTGAGCGGCCTGTGGTGGCAGTATGTCAGCATCCCGGAATCTGCTGCTCCCAAGATGAGTATGGATGGATGGCCACGTTGAACAAAGACCCTGGGGTCTTGCTGCCCTCTGGCAGCTTTTCAGAACTGAGAAGCCTCCCTAGACCAGCAGGTTTGTGGGGGAGGAGGCTGGAGATGCAGGCTCCCTCCAACTGGGAGCAGGGCGGGCTGCATGGCCTTAGAAGGGCCCCAGGCTTGGTTTGCTGTTCTGTTGGGGCCATCTTGAAATGCTAAATAATTTTTAAACAAGAGGCCCTATACTTTTCACTGCCCCCCAAAATCATGCAGTCAGTCTTGTCTGGAAGCCAGCTACCAGGACCTTTAAGGACCTCAACTCAGGACAAAGCAGAGTGTCCAAGCTGAAGAAGAAATGCACATGCCACATACCTTAACCCCTTCATTCTCCTCGACTGCAGCCAACAGCAGAGAGACAACCGTACACTTCATCCCTGCCCCAAGTTGGGCCTGAGCTGCTCACTGACAGCTTTGCCATTTAACCTTATTTGTTTTCCCTATCGATCCATTTTTAACTCGTTCAAATATTTATTTTCTGCTTTCTTTTAGATTGAAGTTTGTGTTTTGTTGCTGATATTTGGGGTGGGGGGGGTATTATATGAAATTCAGGATAACTAAATCTATAAAGATAGTAACTAGATTAATAGACCCTCAGAGTTATGGCAAGAGGAGGTTGGGGGGAAATTGAGAGCTAATCATGTATACAAGCATGAGGAAAATGATCTAAAATTGATTGTGGTGATAATTGCACAACTCCAATATATTTAAACTGTTGAATTGTATTATACATGAAGCACATGTCAATAAAGGGGTTTAATAAATAAATCAACACTGCCTGGGCATATGCCATCTTTACAAAGTGTCTTTGAGCCTGTTGTTGCAGCCGCTGCGGTGATCCAGCTTGTGTAGGGCCTTTCTCTTTTTTACTCATGTTCCGTGTGACTGAGCATGACGCCTCTTTCTGGGAACTGGTCCCTCATGGCAATAGGTCAAAAGTTCATCCTCCTTGCTTCCAGCAAGCTCTCTGGCTGTAATCAAGTGCATGATTTCCTCTCAGGTCCCCTGGTCATTCTCCAGACTTCACATACGTAAGAGGCCGTCGAAAACACCATGGCTGGGTGAGTCCCCACAGTGACAGCTTCCTTCTTCGGCACTTTCGGGAGGTCTTATGCAGCATGTCAGATGAAGGCAATTGTCAGTTGGTTTCTTGAAGGCTGCGTCCAGGAGTGTGGATGGGGGTCCGAGTAGACTGACCTCTGTGGGTCCAGTAAACTAGAATCTCCACAGTTTCTCCCTGTTCTCATGATGCTGGTTGTTCATTGTCCGTTGTGAGGATGTGGGTTCTCTTTACGTGACTTGTGATCTATCCTGAAGGCTGCTCATGAACCACAGAGCAGACTTACCCCCACAAAGAAAATACGGAAAAGATATGGGTGCTATAGCAAAGTACGGTGCAGAAATTCGATGGTACCCAGCTGTCAGAAAGAATAGCATCTGGGGTCTGAAAGGCTTGTTTTCAAACAAGTAGCCATCTACGTAAAATGCCGGCTAAGCCCACAGGGAAGAAGCACACCAACATCCATGATCCAAGGATTATCAATAATATAATCCAAATCAGAAGGAGGAAATATTGTTACAGCTTAAATTATGAAATTCTGGCTTGCAGAAGGCTATGGATGACAGGACAGTGGAGCCCAAAATTCACTTGCAGGATCTGTACCTGGAAGAAGCCTCCCGTGATTTCCCTGACCATAACTGAGGGATGGGAGTGACCTGCTTATCAGACAGAGTGTTGTAGAGACGATGACGGTCCATGAAAATGATAACTCTGAAAAGAAAAAAAAATGATAACTCTGCTTTTGAGAAGATGGCACTGAAGACAAAGAAGGAAGCCCCTGTCCCTCCCAAAATGGACGTCAAAGCAAAGGCTTCAAAGGCCAAACAGGCCATGCTGAAAGGTGTTCACAGGCACACAAAGAAGATTCCCACGTCACCCACCCCACTGTCCTGCAGCCTGAGGCTGAGAAGGCACCCCCAGTAACCTCAGCAGAGCGCCCCCCCAGGGGAAGCAAGCTGGACCACTAAGCGATGGATCATTGAGCTCCCCTTACGTCCCCCGTGAAGAAGACGGAAGATGACATGTGTGGATGTCACCAAGCACCAGATCAAAGAGGCTGTGAAGAAGCTCTATGACATTGACGTAGCCAAGGTCAACACCTTGAT